TTTTAGTTAATTCAATTATTTAATAAATATTTGCTGGCCAGGCACAGTGTCTCACACCTGTAATTCTAGTACTTTGGGAGGCCAATGTCAAAGGATCACTTGAGACCAGGAGTTTAAGATCAGCCTGGGCAACATAGTGAGACCCCATCTCCACAAAAAATAGAAAAATTAGTCAGGTGTGGTGGCATGCACTTGTAGTCCCACCTACTCATGGGGCTGAGGCAGGAGGACTGCTTGAGCCCAGGAGTTTCAGGTTGCTGTGAGCTATGATGACAATACTGAATTTCAGCCTGAGCAATGAAGTGAGACCGACTCAAAAAAATTAAAATAAATAAATATTTGTTAAGCATTTAATATGTGCCAGGTGCTAAAATAAATAAATAAGTTTCTTTAATTTGGTCTTTGTGCTTATTTTTTCCTCTTGTGTATTTGATCTTCTCATTCTGGAATTATTGTTGTTTTAAGGTCAGATGTATTTGATCTTTCTTTTCATTCTGGAATTATTGTTATTTTAAGGTCAGAATTCCCTATTGTATTTTCCAGACCTTTAACCTTCTTTGTTATTTAAAAATTGATCTATTTATGTCACACATCTTGAATGTCTTTCAGGTTATTTGATATTTCACTAATTTGAGTTTTAAGTCATTTTTCTGCAAGCCTGAGGTTTTATTTTGGTTGTTGTGCTTTTCTTTTCTTTTTAAGCCCTTTTTTATCCCAACCTTTTAAAATAGCTTGCACATCTGCTTTTAACTCATTAAGAATATTAAGACAGGTTCCATCGACCTAAAATGAAAGGATACAGACCAAGAAGAAAGCAGAGCATTTATCAATCCTGTTCTGTACACAAGGACTGCCAAAAATCTCATTGAAATCTAGAATGTTTTCAGCTCTTATTGTTTATGCCAGTAACTATAGAGGATTTATTTTTCTTTTGAGACAGTGTTATAGTTATTTATTATAGTTATTTTAGAGAGAAGAAGTTCCTAGCATTTCTATTCACTCCACTAACTTCCTGGACCATTTTTGAACATTAAAAATATGTTAAAGATGATGGTCTGCGGTAAAATAGCCACAAGGATGTCTTATAAAGGGCCTCATCTTTGCTAATTGCAAAGAAAGACATAGATCACTGCAATCATTTTACCTCATTTGTGGCTGAGACTCCTGGTTGCCTGTCTACTATTCCGTCTCTCCTCCTCTTTTACTAGCAGCCTTAATTTTATTTAGTGTTAGTAAATATTTTATTTAGTGTTAGCTTGCAGGTAGAGGTGGTCAGGTGACACAGTCTTGGCCAATAATATATAAGGAGAAGTCACTGGGTATGACTTCCAGAAAGACTCTTTTAGTAGTGCTAACTTGTCTGGATGTACCTCTTTAATTTTTTTTCCCTTCTTTTTCTTGTCTAAAATTCATAGACATTATGACTGGAACTCTAGCTGACACGTTGAGAACCTGAGAACAAGCTGTCACCTTAAAGTTGGAGTCTTGTTGACCTGGAGCCTTCATAGTATTCCTGGCTTATTCATTTGTTTAAAACACTGTCATACAACTTTTCTGTTACATGCAGCTAAAGTCAACCCCTGACTGAGAAAAAAGCCATCCTCTTTCTCTCTCTGCACTAATACCTCAAATACCTGAATACCTTTGTATTATTGGTTGGTGAAAGTAATATCAAAGTGTAAGACTGTGATGGGTAAACTTGAAGGCCATCACCCAAGGTATCCATCACCATTGTTCTACAAATCAGTTGCAATCTGCTGCAATATGGTCTTTCAAATAAACCATAGGAGAATTCTACAACACCCTAGAAATTTCTAAACAGAAAAAGAAGAAGAAGAAATAGTTTAGTTGTATTTATGTGCATTTGACACTTTTATTGGCAAAATGTTTGGAGACCAGATTCCAGCTTTTGGGATCTAGGACTGCACCTAGAGGTCACAGGGTCTCAGCCCATCTCAGTGAAGGGTCGGGGCACCTGTGCGGTCACCCATTGGTAACAATGACTTATATTTTGGAAGAAAAGATCTAGAGGTGGTTCAGGAGATTCCTTTATTGTTGTTTACTGGAATTCTTATCACTGAAATTACTTGTAAAGCTCTTTGTTTATAATAACATCAGCTCATATTAGCTGTTCTAAGGGGAAATAAGAAAGAAGAAAATTGCATATCCTAGAGGAGTGATAGATACTGAGGAGAGAAAAGCCCAAGAAAGAGGCAAAAAACGCAGGGAAAAACAAGACAAAACAAAATAGGCAGAATCAATCTAGGAGCCATCCATCCCACCTGGAGTTTTCTACTTAGGAGTTCCTTTTGGCTCTACATTTACATTATAGATTGTTGTGTGCCAGAGATAATGAATTCTGTGAGCCATAAACTTTATTAGGTCCTATACTTCAATACAAAACAAGCTTAAATATTGTGTTTTATTCACTCATTCTAAAACATTGCTAAGCACCTAACGTGTGTCAGCCATTGAAAAATTAGAGCAAAGATTTATATTCAACTTTAGAAATGAATGCATTACCTTGCTTTTTAAAGCTGCAGATTGCAGGAGATTTAACAATGCATTCTGTGCTATCCTCCTACAATTAAAACTTGGTTTGATAACACAAACGAGATTATGATACTAAACCAATTGTAGCCACAAATTTAAACCTCTTCCCATCCTAAGTACAGTGGCATATTCTCTGAAAACTAGATGCCTCTCAGATTTTATTAACAAGAAAAAAATAACTACTTACAGAAGCTTTGAACAGCAAAAATTTAATTTCAATGATAGGCAAGTACTATGAAATAAGCCATACAATAGAAAGGAATACAGGTATTTTTACTATAATATTACTACATGGTATATTACAAATTACTACTGGAATTTCTGGGTCTTGTAAAGTAAAATCTATGTTTTGGCTTTGTTGGTACTTTATTTTAACGTAATTTAGTTACATGCTTTATTTATTTATTTTTTTAATTTCCAATACAGCCATAGATTTCTAGGAATCAGGCAGGTTGTTAATATATAGCCGTGGTGGTAAGTTATATAATAATATTGCAGACAGTGTAAATTCAGGTTTCTTCACAGAAGTCTTTGAAGGTCTTGGAGATAACTGATTAGGAAATGACAGCAGCCCTCTACCACTGAGTTTCCGAGCAAAGGGAAGAAACAAGATATAGATCCATCAGTGCAAGCGGAGTTGTTAATGAGGTTCAAATGCAGAATCATTAAACATGGTTAGGCTTATTAATTGAGTGCGGATATTAAGAGTAAACAACCCTCTGGCCAAGTGCGGACTAGTTCGGTATCTTTAATCTTTTCTTTCTGTCACTCGTTCAGGCAATTCATTAAAGCCTGCCCGTCTCTCGGGGTGCCTCCTAAGGAGTGTCACTGTTTTGTTACTGTGCTCGTTGGCTCACAGATCTCTTTCACAATTTTCATTGGCTTCTGAGTGCTCCCTCAGCACCAGTTCTGATCAGCTCATTTGCAGCTCATGCTTTAATAAACATGTCTTTGAATAAATGAAAGAAGTAGGAGAGCAAGATGGGACGGGGTGATACGGGGAGAAAAGGGGTCACGTGGAATCCCACCAGGGGCCTGCGTTCCCCGGGAGGACCAGCAGGTGGTAGCAACACTTCGCGGGAAGGCCCCAGCCCGGCTGCGCAGGGCGAAACAATAGACCCCAAATCCAGTCCTCGGTTGGAGAAGAGGTGAGGGGTGGGAGGAAACCTTGCCCCCCGTGGCAGCCCGTCCGTTCCTTACGCCTGCCGCCGGGCACCCGCCTGGGGCACCTTCCCGCGCCCTCCCCAGCGCTTCACTGTGGGGAGGTCCCCTCGCTAGCGCCGGCAGGGGAGGAGGCACCCGGAGGTGCCGCGACTTGCCCAGGCAACGTCAGGGCCACAAACCCCGCGTCAGGACTTCCCCTCTGCAAGCCCAGGCTGCCCTGCCCCTTGGGGAGGCTGGAGGGAGGGAGGGAGGCTGGAGGCAGGAGCCCCAGCGCTGACCAAGGTGCAGACACGGAAAGGGAGAAGAGTTTGGGGCTAGCACAGCGACGCCCGCGAGGCAGCCGAACCTGCCCCCCACCGCCGAACCCTCGTGCATTTCTCAGTTTGTCTTTCCCTCCACCCCCTGCCTTTCCTTCCTTCTCTCTTTCTCAGCTCACGCCCACCTTAGTTCAGAGCCGAGCAGGAGCCCCCGCTGCTTTAGTTCCTAGAGTGAAAGCCGACTAGGAGGGAGGCGCGAGGGGTGTGCTGGGCTCCTGCCCTGCCCTGGACAGCCTCCGTCCGCCCGCTGCGCTCCGCTCCGCGGTGCCCGAGCCCCAGGGGGTTTCGATCGGCCGCTTCCCCGTCCCGCCGCCTCCAGGCCCCTCAGGCGTGCCATCTCCCTGCGCTCGTCCCTCCCGCCCGGCCGGGACCTGCGGGAGGAGGCCGCCCCCTCTCCCGCGCACAGGCGGGGCCCGGGCGCGCCCCGCGTCCCCACCGCGCTCTCCCCCGCGCGCCGGGGCCGGGGAGCGGGCGCAGCGCACTCGCCGCCCAGGCGCGGAGGGCGGGCTCGGCTCCCCGGAAGAGGGGAGAGGGAAGGCGGCCGAAGGGGCCGGAGGGGCGGGCCGGGCTGGGAGGGGACGCGGAGGGGGCGGGCCGGGCTGCGCTCTCACCAGCCTCGGCTCCAGAGCAGCGGGCGGCGGGACCTGCGACCGAGCGCGGCGACTGCGATCGCAACGCAGGGGCCCCACGGTCCCCCAGCGCCCGGCCTCCGGAGCAGCCACTGCCGCCTGCGCCGGGTCCGCCCCGGAATCCCAGAGACTCGCTGAGCCGAGCGGACCCGGGCCGCGGGGAAGCGGTTCCCGGACCCAAGAGGACGCCGGTGGCGCCCAGGGAGCTCCGGGAGCAGCAGCTCCACCACGGGGCCTCGGGGGCGCAGACCTGCAGAGACTGCAGCCGGCGGGAAGGTGAGCCCAGGGGTTGCAGGCGGCATTGAGGGATCAGGGGAGAGTGGGCCTGGGAACGGAGGAATTAGGTTTTCAAAAGTAGAGGGGCTCTCCAGCCAGGGCTTCTGCGATCCTCGGGGCCCTCCTGGGCAAGTACTGACTATCCCTCCCCAAGGCGAGAGCGCTGTTCACCAGGGTGAGAAACTGGCCAACATGGTACCCCATCACCAGCCATCACTGACACCCCATTACTCCTGCTCCTAGGAACCCTCCACTGTGTTCCCAGAGACCCCCCTCTGGCTTTGGCTTGGGGGTCCTGTTGGGGGGGATGTCCTCTCCGAGGCCGGGCTCCAGCGTTCTGAAAAAGATCGCCCATCTCTCTGGCTCCAGTGGCACCACTCCAATCCCCTTGCAGCTGGGAGGAGCCAGGAGGCTGACCGACCCCATACTCTGCGCCCCCACCCCATGCCCACAGAAGCCTTGGAGCTGGAGAGGAGGTTTGGTTCCTGTTCCCCAGCCATTACTCCCAAGTTGCAACCAAAGTCTCTTGCTTGATCCTACGCAGCCCCACCCTCTCTCCCTGCATCTGGGTGCCTGGCCCTGCCTGCCCCACACCCCCGCCCACTGATCTTGGCCGTCTGGCACCCTCTCTCCTCCCATCCCTAGGGGAGCTGGCAGGGGCCCAGCATAGCCGCTGTTGTAATGTCCCTGGCAGTGCCCATGGAGAGGAACGGCTGGACCTGTTCCCAATCAGTTAACCTGGGCCCTCTGCTCGCCAGGGGAACTTGACTCAGGCTCTAGGAGGGGACACCATGGTTCTGACCCGAGACCAGTGGCAAGGAGCTCTCCAGGGCTGTTTGTAGTCCACAGGAGCTGCCCAAGTAATGGAGCCCTGGAGCATTGAGACTTGCTGATCGCTGTCCAGCAGAGCCTTGTGGCTTTTCAGGGCAATGGGCCTTTTTTCTCAAAGGCAGATTAGGATGGGGGTTTCTGTGTACTTGCATAGTGGCAGAGGAAGGAGGAGGAGTCCTCTTGGTCCATTCAGGGTACAAGAAGATGGCTGGCAATGGCTATTGGGTTACCAGGATGCCAGGGAGTGAGATGCTGGGATGGGCTGAGTGTGGGAAAGGCAGGATCCTCCTTCTGGGACAGCTGTCGTCCCAGCTATGCCCATCTTCTGAACCTAGGCCCTGAGTTCCGCCCCACCCCTCACTGTAGGTGGAAGAGGATGGGAGGGCCTGGAAGGTTTAGGAAGCTAAGGTTTCCCTTCCTCGCCTCCCCTTCTTGGCTCCCTCTCCCAGCCCAGGTGTTTCTGCAGAAGCTCCTCCTGGGGCCAAGAGCAGCTCACAGCCAGACAGGGGCCGAAGAAGAAGGAGAGGGGCTCCTGGGGTCCCTGCAGAGCCGGCGCTGATGTGCACGCCCTGGCACAAGCAAGCGCATCTCTCAGCCCCTCCAGGGCTGCTCCCACCCACCTCGCCTCCTATACATTCCCTGCACACTCCGCCAGGTAGATACATCCTCAGGCGTTCACCATCACAGGCACTGCTCCTGGCACTCGGGGGCTTTCTCCCACAACCTTCCACTTACTCATCTTTCATGCACACTTGCTGCCTGCCCCAACACCCTCCCTTATGCTCTTTCCCAGAGCCTCGCATGTGCCCGGTCACTGCACGGAGTGGCTCATTCTAAGTGGCTGTCTGGCTAGACCCAGACACTGCCTGCATCTTAAAAGCCTCCCCCAGCTCCACAGCCTGAGAGTGGGAGGCACATTTGTCTGAGTCAGAGTGCTCTGGGGGACCTTCTCAGAGGCTGGAGGCCTCAAGGGACACAGGACTGTCCTCTGCTAGGTAATCAACAAATTGGCTTCTCCGGCCAGGGCAGCAGGGGATAGAAGGGCCGGAGGACAGCCGCCTCTGCACTGTCTGTCCTGGATGCCACCGTAAAGCCCGATGGGATCCTTCTCACGGCAGGAGGCCAGAGCACGAAGACATGTCCAAGGTGGAGATTAAAGGGTAGAGGCTGCAGCATTAAGCTGAGCAAGGATTACACTGGAATTTCCTGGGCGTTTAACAGCTGCAGGACAGGGCGGGGGACAGAGCTTGTGGTGCTGACCTGGTGGCGAACAGGTGTGAAGACCAGTCCAGCAGCCACAGCAGACATAAAGCCATGGGCCCCTTTGCCCTTGGGACTGTCCCTCTCCCCCCGGACTCTGCAGCCTGCTTGGCCTCACTAAATCCTTCCTTTCTGGGCTCACTCTGCAAGGATGCCCCTCATTATGTGTTCAGATTGGACAGCCCCCTCTGGTGTCCTCTCCCCCTTCGTAGTCCCAGTTCTTTGCTCCACATCGTGGAAGAGAAGCATGACATGGTCACCGGGACAATTTCAACTTCTTGGAAAAGGAGCTTAAGGAATATCCAGGGATAAAAGTTATTTTTGCTTCGATTGTCCATATTGTTTCATTCATTCTCGGCTCCTACTCTTTTTCCATCTCTACTTTCTTCTTATAGATGAAAATTTCTGGATATTTTGAAATCTAGAAAGAAAAAAGGGGGGAATAAAATGTAAACATATCCTATAGTTGTCTAGATTTTTAAAATATTTTCCTTTTTTGTTTAGATTTTAATTATGAGATTTTGTTTTAATTATAAAAATAAGGCATGCTTAGCATAACAAGAAAAATAACTGAAATATGTGTAAGACAAAGTTAATCCACACACCTACATTCCTTCATTTCTACCTCCCACGGTAACCAATTTTAATGGCCCAATATGTCTTCTGCTGTACCTTCCTCCAAGATTGTTTGGCTTAAATTATTTAAGTTTAAAAAATTCATTTTGTGGATTGAGGTCCATAAACTATATTAAATAAGCTTGATTTGTTCGTGAAGTCATCATATTTAGCATTTAATTTGAGCATAGTTAATTTTTAAAAATTCTTACAGATTCACTAATTTAATGTACTTTGTAATCTTTCATTTTTTTATAGTAACAGAATTCACGAGCTATGCCTTATAATCTAAGATTCTACAAGTCTTTAATTTTTGCTAGTTTCTGAAAACAAAATACAGCCTCACTGCCTAAGAAACTGCCTTATTCTTGTAAACCAAAGAAATGTAGCAGGCTTGCGGATCTTGTCTGCACGGTATCAACAAGATATTAAATGATATACCCAGAAAAGAAGCTGAGAAAAAAAAAATTATGAATTCCTAGAATGCAATTTTTGTCACACGGAACTGTGTCTAATCAGTTTCATTTTCTGAGCTATCATTTTACATCCACATTTCTGCTGCTTCTGGGGCTTTATATTTTTAAAGCCTTCTACACATCTGAAATTTGAATATTTTCCTGATTGAGATAAGTTGTCCTCACTCTCGAGTGTTGAGCAGTGCCTTTGGTGAGCTGGAGAAGAGAGTGGATCTCAAGCAGGCTGCGAGGGAGGAGAGCAGGGCCTGGTCTCCCCGAGGTCTCTTCCCGCCCGGGTGGCAGGAGGGGTGTGGTTGGTCCCTCCCGGGATGCTTGGGACCACATGCAGAAGATGCTCCATGTCCACAACCACTGAAGCCACCTTTGAAAGTCAAGTTCTAAGTCCCGCTTGCTTAGTATTCCAGACACATGGAGCAGCTGTCTTCTTTAGGTTTCTGCCTTTGAAATCTGCTTCAAAAGAAGCTGCAGTGGTGTGAACTGGTTGACAGCAATTTATTCCATGTCCCAGCACAGCTTCCTCTTGCCTTATTTGTACTCTTGCAATAGAGATACAGTCAAGATTCTTTTTATATATTAAAAAAAAAAAAAAAGACTTAAAATTACCTGATCTGTTTAATGAGCTAGAACGGACCTAACTTCCTAGTCTGACTCAGCAACTATTGTCTTTTTCCTGAAGAAACTTGTCTATAACCTTCCGTCTTCTGAATCTGAATCCCACAGAGATCCTCATCAAACATTGGAAGTACACTCTGCGTACTTTAAGGTCCTCAACCTTTGCTTTTTAATGTGAATATCTTTTTACTTAGCACAATTAAAAAAAAAAAGGAAGTGGCAATCCACAGGCTGCATCTCCATGTTATTCTTTTCTTTCTGCTGCTTCTCGAGGACAGAAGCTGAGTGGCTTTAACACGCATGTTTCATAATTGCTTTTGCTCTTTTCTGGGTCTCCTGGAGGGAGGCCAGCCTCATGTTTTCATTAAGATGCATGCTAAGAGGATGCAAGCCTGCCCTCTCGCAGCCACACTTATGTTGTGGGTCATCAAAGCAAATGCCTTGCCATTCTTCATCTTCTAGAATGTTCCATAGTATCTGCAGTGCATCTTTTCTATCTTGTTTGGCTGTCTTTCAGGGAAAAATAAATTCATTGAGATGTTTCCAAAATATTTATTATTCCTTCTCCATGATAATTTGTCTGGTTGTACGCTTGAGAAGATACAGTGCTTATTGTTTCTTCTTTGTATAGATTCCAGAATCCATCCATGTTCTGCCTGAAAGAAAGAGATTATTTTAAAGAATAGCTTCTGGGCAAATGGTAAAATAGTCTTCCTTGTTTAAAATTTTACTGCTGGCACATTTTCTGTTCCTGATAACAGTATTCCTAAAGCCTCTGTGGCTCTGGGCAAAATCTGGTGTGTCGAGCCTGTCTCCGAATGAAGCCATTGCGAGTTTGGGGGACGTACCTACCACATGAATGGCTCCAGGATATTTATTAAAACAGCCATAGGTGTTGGTGCCTGTGTTACAGGATTTAAGAGCTGTGTGTGCTTTGTATCTCATCATCTCTCTGTTCTCCTCTGAAGCATTTATTCAATTTGTGAATGACCCTAGTAGCATTTGAGACAGCATTTGCAAAGAACCTCTGTCTCTGAAGAGCAATTAGCCATATGGAAGTGCTTCTTACGCGTCTCCACAGGCTATAAATTGAACTCTCTATTTCACACATAGAGCTATAGAAGTACGAAAGGTAAGTTTCGGGAGCTAGTTGGCAGAAGCCCACTAGACAGCAGCCCTTACGTTTGTAGAAATGGTATCTCTCTGCGATAACTCCACGGATGGAGTTAACACTGAAGGCTACGCCTTCCAGCACAGCCAGCATTACTAGAAAAAAGCTGACGACTTTTGTATTTATCACGTTAAATATAGTTTCATTGTATGATTTCAGTTTCATTGTGGTTTTCCATACCACTGTTTATCACAAGGCCACACATATCCAGGAGAAAACAGGTTGCAACTTCCCTTCCTTCCAATTGGCTTTTCTCTCTCTCTCTCTCTCTCTGTCCTATGTCTTTTCAGCAATCCAGGCAACATGCCTCTTATTTTTCTTCTCAACAGAAATAAAGGAGTGTACTGCTCTCGCCCACACAGTTCACGGACTTTGGAGACACAGTCAGGAGGAGAGAGAGAGCATCAGCAGTCTCTAGGTCAACAAGCAAAGGGGGCACCGAGCTTGTTTGTCTTCACTGCGACACTGGCGGTGGCCGTTGCCCCAGTTCATTTGCTCGTGAGCAAGGTGCTGTGTCTTCTGAGTGCTCGGGGAAGGGTTTATATGAGAGGTAGCTTATTGCGTGGTTACGAGGAATCTTTTTGAAGGCATGAGCCTTCAACATTTTGATTTATTTTACCACGCAGTTATTATATACAGTTTTAAAGAAAATTTTAATTAACAATTTGGTTGAAAAGATAATACCTATGCAAGATTTTTTAAATGCAGAAATGATAGTGACGTGAATCTCCCTTACGCTGGGTCCTAGTCCTCTTCTTTTTTCACAGGTTTTTGGATGTTCTTCCATAAATATCACTCTCTATATATATGTATATGCAAATTCTTCTCAACAAATGGCAGCTTACTTTACACTGCTCTACACTGTACTACTTTCACTTGGAAATTATTTTCATATCAATACATAAACAGTTGCCCGCATTCCTTTTTAACGATGTGCCATAATTTTTTAACCATCTTCCCGTTGGTGGACAGTTAGTTTATAGCCTTTTCCCTTGTAAACGATTCGCGATTAATGTCCTTGTTCGAACATCTGTGCAAACTGATGCCAACAGACAGTACCTGAAGGACAAATTCTTAGAAGTGAAGCTGCTGGGTAGATATTACCCAGTTGTTCTCCCGAGAGAATATGCCAGTTTGAACGGGTAAGCACAGTGTCTATCCGAGAACCCCGTGCCTTCTCCAAGGCAGTGTGTTATCAGTCTAATAGGTAAAAACCGTGTCTTTGTCAGCTGCTGTACCAAAGCATAATTAGACCAGGTGGATTATAAGCAATAGAAATGTACTTCTCGCAGTTCTGGAGGCTGGACGTCTGAGGTCAGGGTGCCAGCATGGTCATGTCCTGGGGAGACCCTCTTCTGAATTTCAGGCTGCTCTCTTCCCGGTGTATCCTTATAAGGCAGAAAGAGGGGGAAAAAGCCCTTTGAGGTCTCCTGAATAAGGGCACTAATCCCATTTGTGGGGGCTTTACTCTCATGATCTGATTACCTCCCGAAGGCCCCACCTCCTGGTCCATCATGTTGGGGGTTAGGATTTAAACATAGGAATCGAGGGGAGACACAAACATTCAGTCTGTAACAAAGGGCTTGTCACCATTGTTTTACTATACCTTCCTTTACATGTAAGCAAACAAGAAGCATTGTTTCATACGTTTAAGCCACACGTTTATTCTTCTATAAGCCATAGGAAAACACATGCCCCTTGGGGGAAGAGAGTCTTTGTTCACAAAGTGTATGCCAGCCCCGTGTGTGTCTGCCCCCTCCTTGCGCTGTCTCGTTCATCACACAGGATCTCATGCCTGCGGTCTTCGGCATTTATTCTCCTGCCTTCCCTCCCGCCATACCCCACAGCTCTCTTTCTGTGCCCCTCTTGCTTCACTGCCTCTCTGAGATTTCTGGAGTGTCCAGGTCCAACCAGGGTGGGGCGTTGGTGTGGGGGCGGGAGGGGGGGACGAATTGGTGTGTCCAGAAGGGTGGAGCAGCTTCTCACCTGCCTGCCTGCAATGGGGATTTCTAACTTCCAATACAGGTGGCTGTTGGAGGCAGGGAGGAGAGTAAATGAAGAGAAAGAACTGGAATAACTCCTTCCAGAAAGGGTAAGATTGACCTGGAACTGCCGCACGCCCCACCTCTAGGTGGGAGAGCCGTGAGAAATGAACACACAGAGCTACCCGCTGGCTCCTGTCCCCCGTGGCTGGTGTTGGGGCAGTTTGAGAGCTGTGGGAGGGGACTTGGGATCAGGTTTTGGGGCCGGGGCTGTATGTGAAGAAATGCGCTTTCCTCCCGCCTCCCTCTCCGGTCCTGTGTGTCTCCAGGAAGCAAGCTTGGCTGCACACCCCCAGTCTTGCGCAAGCGGCAGCCCCGCCCGGGAGCAGGGTGGAGGCTGGGGCGATGGTGGGCGCCCAGAAGATGCCCCATGGCTACTGAGGGGGCTGCCCGGCCAGGGAGCAGAGCGGCGGGCATGGTGTGCAGCCTGGGGGTCCTGCTCCTGGTGTCTTCTGTTCTCGCCCTGGAAGGTAAGAGGGAGGGGAGACGGGCGAACCCCTGCCTGCCAGAAGAGACCCAGCGCCGGTGGGAAGTGGGGAGGATTCAGAAAAGGAAGGAAAGAGTGAAGGCGTCAAGAGAGGGAAGGGCACAGGGAGGACAACCAGGCCCTGAGTCAGGTGTGTCGGAGGAGGGTCCCGGCAGTGGCTGTGCCGCTGCTGGCAGAGTGAGCGGACAGGGAGGGAAGCTCCTCTGTTCCCACTGGGAATGGGCCGGGGGCTGGCACGCTGGCCGGAGGCGTGGCCACTGTGCGCCCCTCTTGTCTCTGGGCAGAGGTATTGCTGGACACCACGGGAGAGACATCTGAGATTGGCTGGCTCACCTACCCGCCAGGAGGGGTGAGTGCCCCTCTCTAATTCTGAGTCCCTCCAGTCCCCCGTTCCCTGGAGAGTGGAATTCAGGGAGGAAACCCTGGGCAGAGATGGGTGGGATAAGACCCCCCACCCTCCCTCCAGAGAAGCAGGGTTTCAGGGTCTCTTCTCCCTGCTTTGCTTGTCATTAGTTTTAAGTCTCAGTAGAAGAGCTATGTCCCCTCCCTGTCCCCTCTCCTCCCCTACGCCCCACCCAAGCCCTGAGCCCCCAGTGCTTCCCTGGCCCTCCCTGCAGTGGGACGAGGTGAGCGTTCTGGATGACCAGCGACGCCTGACTCGGACCTTCGAGGCCTGCCACGTGGCGGGGGCACCCCCAGGCACCGGGCAGGACAACTGGCTGCAGACACACTTTGTGGAGCGGCGAGGGGCCCAGAGGGTGCACATCCGTCTCCACTTCTCCGTGCGGGCGTGCTCCAGCCTGGGCGTGAGCGGGGGCACCTGCCGGGAGACCTTCACCCTGTACTACCGCCAGGCCGAGGAGCCCGACAGCCCTGGCAGCGTGCCAGCCTGGCACCTCAAGCGCTGGACCAAGGTGGACACAATCGCAGCCGATGAGAGCTTCCCCCCCTCATCCTCCTCCTCCTCCTCTTCCTCCTCCTTGGCGTGGGCTGTGGGCCCCCACGGGGCTGGGCAGCGGGCCGGGCTGCAGCTGAACGTCAAAGAGAGGAGCTTCGGGCCCCTCACCCAGCGTGGCTTCTACGTGGCCTTCCAGGACACGGGGGCCTGCCTGGCCCTCGTCGCGGTCAGGCTCTTCTCCTACACCTGCCCCGCCGTGCTCCGGGCCTTTGCCTCCTTTCCAGAGACGCAGGCCAGCGGGGCTGGGGGGGCCTCGCTGGTGGCAGCCGTGGGCACCTGTGTGGCTAACGCAGAGCCAGAGGAGGATGGAGTGGGGGGCCAGGCGGGGGGCAGCCCCCCCAGGCTGCACTGCAATGGGGAGGGCAAGTGGATGGTAGCCGTCGGGGGCTGCCGCTGCCAGCCTGGACACCAGCCTGCGAGAGGGGACAAGGCCTGCCAAGGTGAGAGCCCACTGCCCTGCGCTCGCCCACCACCCCGGCACCTCCCGCCTGCCTCCTGCTTCAGGCTCCTCCCCTGAACTCCCCAAGAGGTCTTGTCCCCAAAAGGTCAGGAATAAGCCATCATAGAAAAGGATCCCTGTTTTTCCCGATTTTATTTCCTAAAACTTGCTATTACCTAATTATCTGAAATTTCTGGAGCCTTTCACAGGGATTGCTGAGGGTTGGAGGGCTCCAGGTCTGAGAAATGATGGAGATCAAAAGGTGTTAGACTCCCCAGCTGCCTGGGGCTGGGTCCTTTGTCCTCATTCACTGGTCAGTGGGGGAGGGATGCAGGTGGAAGGAGGCACCGGCTGCCCCAGCAGAGGGAGGTTATGCAACCAGCCAGAGACACCCACTAGGCCCCCCGCGCCCCCCTTTCTCCCTCAGTGGAAATGCAGCTCTGGCCCAGCAGACGCAAAAGGAAATCTCTGTTCAGGGGAGAGCGAGCGGGGTTAGGCCTGGGGAGGAAAAGAGAACCGGCTCTGGCGGGGAGAAGGCTGTGAGGCCACCTACGTGTGGGCGTACTGGGCACTCAGGGCGGGTGGGTGGAGTGAGCGTGACCCCCACTGTCCTCTCTGCCTCCTCAGCCTGTCCCCGGGGGCTCTATAAGGCCCAGGCTGGAGATGCCCCCTGCTCACCCTGCCCAGCCCGCAGCCATGCTGCCACCACCGCGGCGCCCGTGTGCCCCTGCCTCCAGGGCTTCTACCGGGCCAGTTCCGACCCACCAGAGGCCCCCTGCACTGGTGAGTCCCTGGCCCAGCCCGGTGAGGAGAAGAGGCCGGGAGGGGCCCGATGTACGGAGCCCGTGCCCGACACTATGGGGACTTTGCATTTGGAGTGACTTCTCTTTCCCCTGTTTTCTTGGTGTCCTCCCCACCCCGCCTGCCACCTGCCTTCCTGGCCCACCTCCTGTCTCTCTCCTCTCCCACCTGCCCCCACTGCCTCCCCTCTGCCCCATGCTCTTCTGTCTCCTCCCCTCTGGGCCACCCCTGCTCCCCTCGCCCCTGCTTTCTTCCTTCCTCACCCCCCTCACACTATGACTCCTGCCTTCTCGGCCCTTCCCTGGTCGCACCCTCCGGCCCCCTAAGGCCCTCCTTCAGCGCCCCGGGAGCTGTGGTTCGAGGTGCAAGGCTCAGCGCTCATGCTGCACTGGCGCCTGCCTCAGGAGCTCGGGGGTCGGGGGGACCTGCTCTTCAACGTCGTGTGCAAGGAGTGCGCAGGCCAGCAGGAGCCGGGCGGCAGCGGGAGCACGTGCCGCCGCTGCAGGGATGAGGTCCACTTTGACCCCCGCCAGAGGGGCCTTACTGAGAGCCGAGTGTTAGTGGGGGGGCTCCGAGCACACGTGCCCTACATCCTGGAGGTGCAGGCTGTCAACGGGGTGTCTGAGCTCAGCCCAGACCCTCCCCAGGCTGCAGCCATCAATGTCAGCACCAGCCATGAAGGTGAGCCCTGTCCTCAGCCTTAAGGGTGCCCTGCCTGGGCTCCCTAGCACCCCTTTCCCTCTCCCGCCTTCCAGCCCATTTTCTGGAGCTCTGGCTGGTGCACTCCACCCCCTGATGCTCCTGCTCCCAAGAATTCCCGTCCCCCTAATGACCCGCCCCACTGCAGTCCCCTCAGCAGTGCCCGTGGTGCACCAGGTGAGCCGGGCCGCCAACAGCATCACGGTGTCCTGGCCGCAGCCCGACCAGGCCAATGGCAACATCCTGGACTATCAGCTCCGCTACTATGACCAGGTGGGCAGCAGTGGGGCGCCGCAGCGGGGCTGGTGGCAGCTCACGGTCCGGGGGGCGGGGGCTGGAGGTCAGATGGGGCAAGGACAGGTGCAGGGGGCCTTCATGGGGAGTGAGCCTGAGAGCCCAATGGCCAGGGAGGCTGGGTGGGCACCTGGGGGTCAGCAGGGGTGAGAGGGGCGGGCAGGGAGTGAGTGGCTGTTACCCCCAGGCGGAAGACGAGTCCCACTCCTTCACCCTGACCAGTGAGACCAACACTGCCACCGTGACGCAGCTGAGCCCTGGCCACATCTACGGCTTCCAGGTGCGGGCAAGGACCGCTGCTGGCCATGGCCCCTACGGGGGCAAGGTCTACTTCCAGACGCTGCCACAAGGTGAGGGAGCCTGGGTGGCCTAGTGGGGCAGAGGGAGGCCCAACGGGGTAGGGAGGACAGGCCTGGGACTGTCCTGACCCTGCACCCTGACAGTGTCCTCCAGACTGGAGGTTCTGTGGAACGGAGGGTGCTTGTGGCCCAGGTGACCTTAGGGGCTGTCTGTGGAAGGGTGGGGGGTTGGGAGGTGTGTGTAGGGTGGGGGGTTATGGGTATGCGTGTAGTGGTTTGGGTGTTAGGGGTGGGTTAGGGGGATGTAGGTGAGGTTGTCGGTAGGGGTGGGGGGGTGTAGGTGGGGTTGTAGGGGGCTGTAGGGTGGGTTGTGTGTAGGGGTGGGGGGTTGCTAGGGTGGGATTGTAGGGGCTGTAGGGGGGCTGGGGTTGTGTGTAGGGTGGGGGTGGGGCGTTGGGGTGGGTTTAGGTGTAGGTAGGTTGTGTGTAGGGTGGGGTTGTGTGTAGGGTGGGGTTGTAAAAGCGGGCTGAGTGCTGAGGGTTTTAGGGTGGGGGGGTTGTGTGTGGGGTCGGGGTTGGTAGGGGCTGTAGGCGGTGGGGGTTGTGTGGGGTGGGTGGGTTGTGTGTAGTGGGGTTAGGGGCTGTGGTGAGTTGTTTGTGGGTGGGGGTGGGGTTGTGGGTGTGTGAGGTTATGGTGTGTGTAGGGTGAGGTGTGAGGTGTGTAGGGGTGGGGGTGTGTAGGGTGGGGGTCGTGGGTGTGGGGTGTGTTGTGTGGGTGTGGGTGTGGAGGGTTGTGTGTATGTATGTGTGGGGCATTCGGGTGTGTAGAGGGTGGGTGGGTGGGTGCCTGGGCACATGGACAGGTGCATGGAGAGGCTGAGCCCACCTGTGACCCCAGCGCTGGTCCCCCAGGTGAGCTGTCCTCCCAGCTTCCAGAGAGACTCTCCTTGGTGATCGGCTCCATCCTGGGGGCCTTGGCCTTCCTCCTGCTGGCGGCCATCACCGTTCTGGCCGTGGTCTTCCAGCGGTGAGTGCCCCCCTGCCCTGCCCAGCGCATTCACTCCTCCAGGCGCGACCCCAAGTCCTGGCAGCCCCGGCCACTGCAGAGACGCCACCAGTGCCCCTCTCACCACCAGCCCTGCCGTGGGCCCACATGGGTGCGGGAAGTGGGGCCCAGCATCCCCTCTCTGCACAGAAGGGCGGGGGAGGGCAGGGGTGGAAATGGGAGTGTCATTCCAGGCCCCGGTTTGCCCCTCAGGAAGCGGCGTGGGACGGGCTACACGGAGCAGCTGCAGCAGTACAGCAGCCCAGGTGGGGTCGGGGGAGCTCGGGGGGCGCTGGGAGCTCGGGCTGGGTGCAGGCAGGGCTGGGTGTCCCCAAGGTCAAGGGGAGCTCCTTCTGCCATCATCCAGAAGTGAGAGGGCATGTCGGGGTGTGTGTGGGCAGCAGCCCCTTGCACCCCACCCCATAGCATCCTCCACACCCTTTCAGGGCTCGGGGTGAAGTATTACATCGACCCCTCCACGTACGAGGACCCCTGCCAGGCCATCCGGGAGCTTGCCCGGGAGGTCGATCCTGCGTATATCAAGATTGAGGAGGTCATTGGGACAGGTACTGCAGGGGCGGGGGTGGGGATGGGAGGGCTGGGCTCCCTTGTGGGCCTCCCTTGGCTGAAGTCCCATCTAAACCGCACAGGGCACTGTGAGCCTGTGGTCCTTCCTTGCCCCCCCCCAACCTGCACCTGTCCTCCCAGGCTCTTTTGGAGAAGTGCGCCGGGGCCGCCTGCAGCCCAGGGGACGGCGGGAGCAGGCCGTGGCCATCCAGGCCCTGTGGGCCGGGGGTGCCGAGAGCCTGCAGATGACCTTCCTGGGCCGGGCGGCGGTGCTGGGCCAGTTCCAGCACCCCAACATCCTGCGGCTGGAGGGCGTGGTCACCAAGAGCCGGCCCCTCATGGTGCTGACGGAGCTCATGGAGCTCGGCCCCCTGGACAGCTTCCTCAGGGTCAGTCCAGCCCGGGCGAAGGAGGAGGGTCCTCGGGTCCAGAAAACTTGGGGTTCTCTGGTCTTACAGGAGATGGGGCCCTGTCTTTGCTCCTCCCACCCCTCCTTCCTTCCCAGGCCATTTCTAACCCCTACGTCTGCACCCCCGCCCTCTCATGCTGATGTCTGCTGTGCAGTGTCACTGTCCCCTCCCTGCCATTGCTGACCCCTGCCCCTTGCCCCTCAGCAGCGGGAGGGCCAGTTCAGCAGCCTGCAGCTGGTGGCCATGCAGCGGGGAGTGGCCGCCGCCATGCAGTACCTGTCCAGCTTTGCCTTTGTGCACCGTGCACTCTCTGCCCACAGCGTGCTGGTGAACAGCCACCTGGTGTGCAAGGTGGCCCGGCTTGGCCACAGTCCTCAGGTGAGAGCACAGCCTCGGGGCTCAGCACCCTTCAGCAGGTGCAGGAGGCTGAGCTGGCACCTAGGGTGGGTACCTCAGGTGGGATATCACAGTGTCTTAAGGGAGGAGGCTCCCTGCTGTGCTGGGGAGGTAGAAGCCTGGCGAGGTGGCTATTGAGGGATTTCAGGAACCAAGGCAGTGGAAGGGGACTGGGGAGGGCAGGAGACCTGCAAGAATCTAGAACCACCTCCTGCCCAGGAGACAACATCATCCACCCTACAGGGTTGTTATGAGGATTAAACAAGATGTGTGGTGTAAAACCCCAGACACACATCTGAGCACACAGTAGTTGCTCAATAAACATGACTGTTGTTACAGTTATTACTACTGTCACTTTCGGCTTCACTCCTTAGGGCCCGGGTTGTTTGCTGCGCTGGGCGGCCCCGGAGGTCATTGCACACGGAAAGCATACAACAGCCAGCGACGTCTGGAGCTTTGGGATAGTCATGTGGGAAGTGATGAGTTATGGAGAACGGCCCTACTGGGACATGAGTGAGCAGGAGGTGAGCACTGGCCTAGCCACTGCTGATTCCCTACCCCCCCCCCCATCCTTCCCATGCCGGAACATTCCAGGACTTCCATTCCTAATCTATTCAAGTTCTAAGATCTCATGTCTCTTGGATTCCACATCTTTAAGTTCCTTCCTGGCTATACTGGATCCCAGCCTATGCCTTTACCTCATCACATACTCCCCTCTACTAGCCATAACCTCCCATTCTCACATTGTTCCTGTGACCCCCAGGTACTAAATGCAATAGAGCAGGAGTTCCGGTTGCCCCCGCCTCCGGGTTGTCCTCCTGGACTACATCTGCTTATGTTGGACACTTGGCAAAAAGACCGTGCCCGGCGACCTCACTTTGACCAGTTGGTGGCTGCATTTGACAAGATGATTCGCAAGCCAGACACCCTGCAGGCTGGCGGGGACCTTGGGGACAGGTCTGGAGCTTGGGGCTGAACCCTGGCAAAGCCAGGGAGGGTAGATGCCAACCAAAAAGCAAACGGAGGAGAGGGGGCTAAGATGAAGAGGAGATCTTGACCTGCTTGTCCCTCCCCCTTAGGCCTTCCCAGGCCCTTCTGAACCCTGTGGCCCTGGACTTCCCCTGTCTGGACTCCCCCCAGGCCTGGCTTTCGGCCATTGGACTGGAGTGCTACCAGGACAACTTCTCCAAGTTTGGCCTCTGCACCTTCAGTGACGTGGCTCAGCTCAGCCTGGAGTAAGCAGGGAGGGGGTGGGGCGAGCGCTCTGGGCCTCAGGCCAGGGGTCGTGTGGGGCGTCGTGGAGAAGCTTGCCCACGTTTGACCCCCTCCCTCCCCACCAGAGACCTGCCTGCCCTGGGCGTCACCCTGGCCGGCCACCAGAAGAAGCTGCTGCACAACATCCAGCTCCTTCAGCAGCACCTCCGGCAGCCGGGCTCAGTGGAGGTCTGAGGCCTGGGCAGGAAGCTGTGGACTGACACTGCCCCAACCCTGCCCTGGACACTGGCCAAGAAGGGACATGGGAGATGTGAGCCAGGCTCCCTCTCGGTCCCCGTGTGAGATGCCCACAGCAAACCCAGCTGTCCGGCCGATGCTGCATCTCCAGCCCTGCGCCCCTCCACCAGCCTCCCCACATTAAAGGGAAACAAGGGAATTGCCAATTTCGGGCATGGTGAGGCCTAAGTATGCAAAGAAGGGCGGGGAGGCCTCGCAGGAGGAGCCAGGGACTGGGCGGGCAGGTAGCACCAGAGACGCAGAAGGGGAGCGGCAGGGAGCAGGAAACGACTTTATTATTGGAAGGTGGAAGGTGGCAAGACTCTACCCTGCCGCACCCCACCCTGGGGTAACACCCAGTCTCCCTCCTCTACACACCTTGCCACTAGCCCCGAGACTGCCCTGCGCCTGTCTGGAGCAACCTGGGAAGGGCCCTTTCCCTTCCGACTTAAGACGCTGGGCTGGGGGCAGGGTGTCTGAGAGGGCCAGCCCGTCCTAAAGTGCTCTGACGTGCGGCAGTGCTGTGGGAAGGCGTCACAGGCCCCTCGTGCCGCTGGGGCGTGGCGCACCTGTGCCCGCTCCGTCTGCCCTGGAGCCGGAAGAATGCTGCAGACCTGGAGTGGCTGTTCCCGGCTGGCCTGGCACACACGCATCCCCGGGCGCTCGCGCGACTCTCCTTTTCCCCGTGGTTCTGGGAGATTAGACCTCTAGGTGTTTGCTGCTGTGTGGTTTTGGTTTTGTTTGGATGCTCCCAGGAGAACGAGAGCGACTTCCTGGAGGCCAGGCGGAGCGCGCCCTCAGATCTGGTACTCCCAGCCGTCCCAGTCCTCCAGGCCCCTGCCCATCAGCCCCCGCAGCTCTCTCCTCAGCGTCCCCTGCCGAAGCCTTTCCCAGTTGGCGCTGCTGCGGGAGGTGCTTCGAGACACCGAGGGTGTAGGCAGGGACAGGTGGGGGCTGGAGGGGCGGCCCAGCTCTCGTTTTTCCACCGAGCCCTTGTCCAAGTCCTCCGAGTCCGGGTTGTGGAAGGCCTGGGCATAGCGTAGGAGCCGCTGCCGGCTGACGTCCTGCCTGTCCTCCACCCTGCGGAGTGCGGAGGGCATGAGCGGCAGCTGGGAGTGCAAGAGCGCCTCCAAGACAGAGGCTTCTCTGTCTCCCAGCCCCCACCACGGGTGGCTTTTTCCCTTCTCTGCAGCCAGTGTGGGTGCTGAGGCCACCGGCCCTCGGCAGCCAGGCCTCAGGAAGCAGCAGCTCTGGGGACACTTTGAGGGGTCCAAGTTCCTCAAGGGGCCCTTTCTTCACCAGCTCGGTCAGCAGGCATGGGGCCCCTGGGAGCAGCAGGTGGTCCGAGCTGAGGGACACCATGCATATACCACTGCTCAGGGGACACCCACCCCCACGACACTCACCGCAGGAACCAGCGGTCCCCCAGGCCATACTCCCGCCCGCAGATGCCAGAGCGCGGCCACAGGCAGCGAGGCAGCTTCCGCTCCAGCATCACCGTGGTGGCCACGACCTGCGTGTGGGGACAGAGGGGAAGTCAGATGTGAGTGGGGGCACAGACTGACAGATGAGAGCTGTAGACTGAGAAGAAGGCGGGGAGTGGAGGGGCGGCAGCTTAGCAACAGGGAACTCTGGAGCTCGTGGTTTCCGGGGATGAGGAACAGCACCCCTGATCTGGGAGGTGCTGTGAGCTCTGCCGATCCTCCTCTGTGGGAGAGAGTTGATGGGACTTGAGCCCCACGATTCCTCACCCAGTGACCTGACATCCCTGGCAAAGCCTGGCAGGAAGCAGGCAGGCGCAGGAGTGGCGCAGGTGGGATGCATGGGGGAGGCAGGAGGGTGTGCAGGTGGGACGTGGGGGGATACAGACAGGATGCAGGAGAGATGTAGGCAGGACGCAGAGGGGGTACAGGTGGGATGCAGGAGGCAGAGAGACCTGTTCCAAAGAGAAGAGGGACCAGAGCAAAGGAAATAAAAAGGAGTCTTAAGGGCTCCTGGATATTTTGCCCCTACAGACATCAAAGCCTCTTATAAACATCCCACTTCGAAGGTCTGTTCATGGAGAAAATATTTTCCCGTTTAGCTAGCTTAGTTTTTCACTCCATTTTCTACACAGCACAATTAAATGCCTTTCATTTGGGGGATTTCCATTTTTATTTTGCTGAATTAATTTTTTGAGATAATTTCTTTTCTAAGTATATAATTTTTAATGAGGATTTGATTCCTGAAATGGCTTTCTGTCTCCATCACGATGATCTGACTGAGGGTAGCTTTTGCTATGATAGGAAGTTTTCATGGCATTATTTTTAACATGTCCAATTTTTCTGGGTCAAATTTTGCAGAATTAAATATAGCCAAGAAGACTTGATACTCCAGTGTTTATTAGGGAACAGAATTGACTGGATGTGGTTTTAGCCACTGTTAGCTTTATTTCTTCTTGATTATTTCAGAGAAGACTGAGGTTTTAATTGTTGAGGAAACTGTGAGGAGTTCTTTCCAGTGATTCCGGTATTGCTTGGTTGCATTGCTAATCCAATTTCTTCTATATGCCTTGCATGATTTTATACACCGTGCAACGACTGGCCAAACATGCATTGGGTTCTAAATATGCTACCTCTATCTGAGCCTGACCAGCTACTTGGCAGGAAGGGCTGGCTTGCACCAACCCCCCAGCCCCGGGGCTCACCTGGGCCCTCCAGAGCTCGTCCCGCTCATGGGCCACCCGCCAGTGCGTGTCTCCCATCATGGCGATGAGGAGATTGAGCATGAGCAGCGTGGCGATGATGGCGAAGGCAGAGTAGGTGACACTGTACATGGTGGGCAGGTCCACGCTGTAGTTGGCAGGGCCATCGATGATGGTGAGGAACAGCTCAAAGGTGCTGAACAGGGCCATAGGGTAATCATAGAAGTGGCCCAGCTCTTCGGGGTCCTGGGTCTGGAAGATGACATAGAAGGCTGCTCCACCCAAGGGGGTGAGGGTTACCTTGGCAACCATATAGGTGACTGGCCCACACCCAGCTCACTGCTGCCCGTGTTGGTCCTGTCCCCTCATCTCTGTTATCACTGCTCCAGCCACCCAGTGCTCCACACTTTGGGTTTTATGGTCCCTTATGTTCTACAAGGTTCACACTCCTCAAGAGCCACTGCTGCCTAACGCTCCCAATTTTCTCTCACCTTTGGGGCACGTCCCATCTGCAGACATCGTACGGCCTCCTCCGATCTCTGCCTCCTCTCCCTTCCCCAAGTTCAGCCAGAGGCATCTGTGCTCTCTAGGTCCCTCAACCTCTTCTTCCCACATCCCCCATCCTGGACAGATGACTTACCTGAAGCAAAGCCCAGGATGACCACAGCCATCAGCCAGCAGAACCGCATCAGGTCTCCAAAGATCATCTAGTGGGGAAGGAGGCAGAGAGAACATCCCCACACGTTCCCTGAGCAACTGCCCCCTCCGACCTCCAGTGAGTCTACCGCAGACTGGTGGCATGCTATGGCCCTCGGACCAACCCCACCTGGCCTGTTTTGGTATGGCCCTTGAGCTAAGAATGGCTTTTACATTTTTAAAGAATGGTTTAAAAAGAAGAAGATGGTGAACAAGACCACGTGCAGCTCGCAAAACCTAGAATGCATACTATTTGGCCCTTTACAAAACTGTTTGCTGACCCCCTGCTCTGGGACCTGTCTCTAGGAAACTTGGGGGGAAGGCACTGACCTTCTGGATCATGATGGTGAAGGGGCCCAGCATCTGGAATCCTCGGGCAAAGTACATGACATTGCACCAGCCCAGCACCAGGGCCAGGGACATGGGCACCACCTCCCCGTCGGTGTTGGTGAGCCGCATCACCATGGTGACCAGCACCATGAAGGCGTAGGTGATGCTGGGGGAGAGCAGAGGGGGTGATGAGATGATAGAGGAGGGCTGGATGATCCAGGGGCCCCTATGGCAAGAGTGGAACTGGACAACACCCACACACTCAGAGTCAGCCCCGGCACGCTCAACGCACAGGGTCACGCACACACCACCGGAGAGGCGCCTCTGGAGCTGAGGTTCTCCAGAGGTCAGGGGTCCAGGAAGTGGAGCCGGAGCCCTGGTGGGAGGCCAGGGCTGGGGCTAGGAGAGGGAGACTCACATGAGGACATGAAATGGGCCCCCGAGGATGGTCTGTCCAAAGAAGCGAGTGGCCCCCATCCTGAGGATGTCTGGAATCTGGAGAGAAGTCCGGGAGATGCAAAGACACTCGTGGACCGGAGCTCGAGTGGGATCCTGGGGCAGACGGCCTCACCCCGGTCCCCGCCACACCTCACCTCCACCAGCAGGATGATCAGAGCCCCGATGACAGTCACTAGCTCCCCCACCAGCCGCATGTCATCACTGGAGGTCACGTAGGCTTCCTGGGGGAGGGGAAGGATGGTCAGAGCACGCAGGGCCCGCAGCATCTCCCTGCACGTGCCGGGTTCCTGTGGCCACGGCCTGTCAGAGCCTTCGCCCCCTGTCCGGTTCGGCTATTCTCAACGGCTCCTCTTAGAGTAAGGGCGTATGCGTGCTCTGTGGGCATCTGAGTCCATACGCAGGTATTTGACATCAGGGTGAGGGGAGAAACATGGGTACAAGGGCAGGGAAGCCATGCCCGTCTGAGAAAGAGCAGAGAGCCGAGCCCTGCCCAGGGTGTCACCTGAAGGAGCTTCTGCTGCAGCAGGGTGTTGTCCCGGGGGCTGGTGCGGTTGGTGGTGCGCGGCTTGAGCGGGCGGTAGACGCAGCACACGGTGAAGCAGATGATGTAGAGCAAGTAGACGGCGCCCAGCACGCAGAAGTACGGCCGCCCGTACCGCCGCCACTTGAGGCTCACCAGCTCCTTCACCGGCGTCTGGTCCAGGATCTGGCGGGCCTGCGGGCGGATGGAGAGCCGAGACCCGGCGGCTCAGAGGCCCCTCGGTCCCCACCGGCGAGCACATGCGGCCTCGACCGCCCAACCCCTACCTCCCGTTTCTTGGTGGTGACGATGAGTTCCAGCAGGGACTGATCGTCCCCTGAGGAGTCGATCTCCGTGAGGTCGTAGAGGGTGGAGGTCAGCGGCCCGTACGTCCACTGGATGTGCTTCCGCTTCTGCATCAGGTGTTGGAACATCTGAGAAGGGTGGGGAGGTCAGGCGCTGCTGGCAAGGGGG